TGAAGAAGGTATTAAGTGGTGTCAGGTTCATGTTATGGAAAGTCAACTTGATAGGATTACCATTGGCCAGGGATGAGATAGTTGTGCTTCAAGAAAAAAAATCACTGCATTAGAATAAAACACAGTTAACACATAATATGTGTAAGTTTATGAGTTTATAAATGTTCATTGAAAAAGAAGAATCAAATATTTTAGCTTGCCTTTCCTGTTCAAACAATATCACCGGGTAACCAAAAGTAGAAGTATTCTAACTAATAAATGAAGGAATGTTTGAATTAAAATATCATTTTTCAATCCCAATAAATTAATCTAGTTACTGAATGTTAATGGCTGCTTAACATTTTGAAAAGAGAGAAAGACATTATAATCTTCCTGATAGAAGTACAAAACACCATCTATGAAGTAATATTACAGAGAGAGAGAAAGAAGAAGGAAGAGGAGAAAGAGGAGGACAGAGGGATAGAGGAAGGGGGAAAAAGGAGGAAGGGAAGAGAGTGAAGTAGGAAGGAAAAAAGGAGGAAAAGAGAGGGGGTAGGCAGAGAGGAAAGAAGGAAGGAAAGAAGCTGAATTAAATGAAGCCTATAGACCAATTATCAATTTATAGGAAACAAATTATCAAGGTGCATTATAAACTGCAACACTGGATACAATCAGCAAAATGAAGACTGGGAAACTCTATAGTTCACATGTCCTGCTTTCTTCAACAAATAAATTGCAAGGAAAAAAGACAGTGGAGGGTGATGGACTAAACAACACATCTTTAAAACAGACCAAAGGAACTGTAGTGTTAGAAATGAACCTTGAGTGATAAAGAAAAACAAGAAAGTTGATTATAACTTTGGGAGGCTGAGGTGGGCAGATCACGAGGTCAGGAGATTGAGACCATCCTGGCCAACATAGTGAAAACCTGTCTCTACCAAAAATACAAAAAATAGCCAGGTGTGGTGTCAGGTGCCTGTAGTCCCAGCTATCTGGGGGCTGGGGCAGGAGAATCGCTTGAACCCAAGAGATGGAGGTTGCAGTCACCTGAGATTGCACCACTGGACTCCAGCCTGGGTGACAGAGCAAGACTCCAACTCAAAAAAAAGAAAACAAAACAAAACAGACAAACAAAAACCATGGTGTCTTTTAGGAAGGGGCGAAGGTATTATGATGAGAATAGATACATGGAGGGCTTTAGGAGGCCCTGGTAAAGTTCTGTGTCTTGGCCTGGATGGTGTTTAAAAAGTTGGTCACTTTATAATGTATTAAGCTTATTCTATGTGATATTTACAATTAAAAGTGTGGGGTTGTTTGTTTTGTTTGTTTGTTTGTTTTTCAATGTGGAAGGATTTGGACATGTCAAGACAAAAAAGTAGGTTGAGCAGTTCAGTGGTGCAGAGCTGAGGGAGAGGGGCTTGGTGGAAACTGAGATCATTCCCAGTCATATGTGGAAGGTGAATAGAGCTGAGGGAGAGGGGCTTGGTGGATCACCGTGACATCATTCCCAGTCATATGTGGAAGGTGAATAGAGCTGAGGGAGAAGGGCTTGGCGGATCACCGTGACATCATTCACAGTCGTATGTGGAAGGTGAATAGAGCTGAGGGAGAGGGGCTTGGCGGATCACCGTGAGATCATTCACAGTCATATGTGGAAGGTGAATAGAGCTGAGGGAGAGGGGCGGATCACCGTGACATCATTCACAGTCGTATGTGGAAGGTGAATAGAGCTGAGGGAGAGAGGCTTGGCGGATCACCGTGACATCATTCACAGTCATATGTAGGAGCTGATTGAGAGATGTCCTGCTTCCCTTTACAATTCCGGCAAAACTCCAACCAAACTTAAATCCATCATTCTTTGTACTTTGCCTTTGCAGCTCAGTGTTTGTGCAGAGAAACAAACGAGTTTTCCTTTAAATTCATCATCTCTGACCTCAGGGGGCCTGGGTGCTGCCCAGCAGTGATACCAACTTCCTCCACCCTCCCCTTCCTTCGTCACTCATACCTTTCTTCTTCCTCAAATCCCAGTACTCCCTCTGCCTGTCTGCACCTGGGCCTAAGCTCTCAGCTGGGCCTCCTTCTCCTAAGGATGTCTGCCTTCCCTCTGAAGGCCAACCCTTCACACATCCTTTAGATCCCCCGCTCCAACCTACTCAAGGACAGAGCTCTTTCTCTGGCCTAAACTGTCCATCTGTGCTTCTCGTCTCAGTCCTGCCTTCAGCATAGTATCATATCATTATTTCTTCATTTTCAAAAATCCTTCACAACCCCAGAGTCCTATCCAATGGCCACCCCATCCCTGCTCCCTTTTTAGGCAAACTCCTTTAAAAAAGTGTCCATTCTCACTTCTTTGAATTTCTCTCCTCCGAGTCTTTCTGGACTCCACTCCGAAGGCTTTTGGCTCCATGACTCCACTAAATGACTCTTGTCAAGACCGCAGTGGCAGCCACACACCCAACTCCAACCACAGCTCATCGTGGCAGCCTTCTTGAGATATGATCCCTTGGCTTTCGGGACACCTGAGTCCTCAGTTTTCACCTGCCTCATAGGCTGCTGCTCCTCAGTCTCCTTTGCTGGTGTTTTCTCACCTTCCCTGCAGAGGTTGGATAATCACATCTAACCTCATAACACGGTCAGAGTGTCATAGATCTAACCTAGTGTCGAGCTTCACGAATAATTTCAAGGATGCAGGTAATCCTGAGACTCAGGCAGGACCTGGGGACATTCAGGTCGCCTCCTCAGGTCCTTCCTTGGCATTTGGGACTGTGCTCTAGGCAAGGTTTACGTGTGAAGCCTCTAAGAAAGCTATGTAGTAATCACTCACATGCAATCTCTCCATTACATAAACTGTCTCATCGTTCATTACTTGATGAACTATCATCATTGTATCCTCTGATAATTGCACAGCTTATGACACTGTCTAAAGAGCCTTACCCCATAAATTCAGAGATTCTCGTTCATTTGCCATCCAAACTCTTAGACCTCTTTTCTAGGAAATGTGCTGTATGTGTATGCCATTCACATGTTTACAAGGAGGCCAGGTTATCTTTTTCCTCTTTCCTGGGGACAGAAGAATGAGAAAATGGATTAGAGGCTCATGCTAATGACTTCAAAATTTGTATTTGGGACCCATGCCTTTCCCCTAAACTACACTTATTTATTCAATTAGCTACTGGAAATTTTAACATTGCTGTGTAATAGCTTATAAAACTGAACATGAGCACAATAGAAATAATGATTTCATGCCTCAACTCCCTACACACACATACACACACATACATACACACACATACACACATGCACACACACATACACACACGCACACACATACTCCTTTCTTCTTCCACAGTTGTCCCCACCCCCCACCTGCCTCCTGTCTTCTCAGGAAACAGGGAAATACACCACAGTCATATTTGACTCCTCTTTTTCTCTCACACCATGCATCCATCCTGACTGGATATTCTGCAATTTCTCCTTTTAATTTATACCCAGAATTCAAACACTGATCCTACCTCCAGCACTACCTTCCCGGGTCAAGCCAGTGCCATCTCTTGCATAGATGTTGACATAAGCTCCTGCGGGCTTCTCTGCTTCCTGCCTACACCCTGGCCCTCCAGAGGGCATGCCGAACATAGCAGCCAGGTGGATGTCTTTAAAATACCAGTCAAATTATGTCATACCTCAGCTCAGACTTCTGCAGTGGTTCTGGTATCTTCCAGAATAACAGCCAGGGTTCTGAAAGCAGCTGTCAGGGAACTACACATTCTAGATCCTCCCGAACTCTCCAACTTCACCTTCTGTTTTTTCCCTCGTTGTTCACTCTGCCTCCACCCCACTGCCCACCTCGCTGTACCCTGAACAGCCAACCACATCAGCACACTGGGCCTGTGCTCCCTTACAGAGTTATCTGCTTGTCCAGAATGCTTATTCCCCCAGGGATCCATGTGACTTGCATTTCTAATCTCCTTCAGACATTTGCTTAAAGGCACCTGCTTTGTAAGGCACTCTCTAATCACCTCTTTAAAATTGAGATCTCCACTTTCTTTGGAATCTCCCTCTTCCCTGTCGATTATTCTCTTCCTCACTTAGCACCACTGGAAATAGTAGACATTCTAACCTCTCGGTGTTGACTGTTACAGTGCTGTGGATGAAGGTGGAGAAGTCTGTTCATTCACTGCTGTATCCCCAGCACCTCGGTAGAGTCTGGAATGTGGTAGGCTCTCAATAAATGTTGCATTATTTGATTAATAATTGAGCAAACCTATTTGACTTGATCTGAGTTTATATTACAAACAGATCAAAAATGTAGGGCTGCCACAAAGAACACCTTGAAAATGGTTTGATGGGGTTTGGAATTTATTTGCGGGCTGAAGAAAGCATTAAAGGAAACTGAGCAAAACAGTAACAGAAAGAAATGATGTCAGGGACACAGGAAATCATACTTTAAGAATAAGTGTAATGATAAAGGGAAAATGTGGTTCTTTAACATCAGTCTTCTTCTAACTCATTGATATTGTGTGGGCTGCCAACAATTATGAAGTGGAATGCGGGGCCGATTTTCAAAATAATTATACAACCTTGTTGAATTTCAAATAGAGGCATGAAAATATCTTGCTTTATAAGATTGATAGTGATGTATTATAAGTGTTCATCATTTAATACATAAGTATGTTCCCAAATGTATATGAAATAAGATTGTTGAAATATATGTTGGTAGAAGCAATCTTATAACATACAAAGCTTTGGGATATCTCTTTTCTGAAGACAAAAAAGCGAAGAGTAAATTCACTTATATGTCTTGCCAGTTGAGTTTGGTAGACTTTTTCTCACTGAAGCATATTTGTCCTCCTCTATCAACCCCCGGCCCTCTCCCTCCCCCTAGACACACACACACACACACACACACGCATTATTTTACTGAAACTGGTTAAGCAAGAAATCCCATACACTGTCAGCTCCTACCCTTTTGGCTGAGATAAACAGTCAGTTTGAAAGCTCACTCTGCTTTTTGGGTTTCGCAGTACAACCGATACCAGCAGTATGGTGCAGAGGAGTGTGTCCTACAGATGGGCGGCGTGTTATGCCCCCGCCCTGGCTGTGGAGCGGGGCTGCTGCCGGCGCCTGACCAGAGGAAAGTCACCTGTGAAGGCGGCAACGGCCTGGGCTGTGGGGTGAGTACTGCCCGCACCCCTGGGGCGGTGTGTTCCTGTCCTTGTTTGCTTTTGCGCATGGGCTGGGATTGTATTTTTATTTTATTCTCATTTTCCCTTTGGACCCAGACATCTTTGAACTTATGTATAAGAAAATAGATTTTAAATTCCTTTATAGGACTCCAGATTGGAAAATGTATGTATGTATTTTGGGGAAAAGAGTTGTATTAAGATTTTCTGTTTTGGTTGCTTATGGAAGTATTTACTTTAAGATGCTGTGAACCACTTAGGCCAGACTTTTAAACTTGTCTCCCAGCACTCAAGTGATCCAGAGCAAAAATGTATTCTTTCTTCAGAGTTGCCTTTAAGTAGACAGGAGTGAAGGAGAAAGAATTCTCCATCAGTGACGTCTTACTGACATTGTTTGCTAAGTGTTTTCAAGAAATAAAATGAAGGTTAATGTGGAAAACTTGAAATGTTATTGTGTCATAAAAATCGTTTTAAATAGAGATGAACAAAACTAATGGTGTCTCTTATGGAAGCAGAATAAGAAACGTGAAAAATGTTTGTTCTAAGAGGTCAAACCATGTGACCTGGCCGGCTTTTCGAAGGAATCTATGGCTGCAGGCTGATGGCTCAAGGGGGAAAGAAGCATAACTCAAACACAAAAAGGCTTACTAAATTATAGGTTAAAATGACAAATGGGTAATAATCCTGATATTAAATTTCATGCAGCCTAGAAAAGTAAGAAAGTGTATGTGCCTATAAAAGTCTATTGAATTTTGATGGGAAACGTTTCTTTTAAAATTGCAACTTCATGAGGAGTTTTGTGCAAGAAGGAGCACAGATAGCAGAGGTATATTTGCCAGGCCTGATTTGGGGCTGAGCGCTGTAAGTCATCTAGAAATAAATTAGCATTCATTCCCCTTAGTAAAGCTTCCTGTGTGTCATGCAGTGGGGCTCACAAAACCCTGGGTTGAACAATGGAGTAGAGGAAGTGGAAGTTGAAAAATAATGAGATGCCATGGTGCCTAAGTGGAAAGAAATACCTCTGGATTCATAATCGTGATTGCATTTGAATGAAAACTCAAGTGATGTTTACTCTCCCTGGAGATGATGGAAATCAGGACACACTCTCCAGCCTTAGTCATCATCATGTGCTGAATTATCTGCACTGATTGTGTGTGGCCTCAGCAGGTTGCCAACCTCTGGGATCAGAATGCTAGCAAATGTTATCTTTTAAAATGAGGTTTTAACGAATTGTTTTTAAGTACTGGCTAAATTGTGTGCTTCTGCCTGCTAATTGCCTACTGTGATTCCATCCTCTAAAGCTGGATTTTAAGATTTTAACTTTCCTTAGGAGGTAGAGAATTCCACTGGCCCATCTTTTGCATTTGGTTGTTGACCTTGCTTTAAGAATGTTGAAGGGTTTATGTAATGCGAAATCTTGAATATCTTTATGTTCCCTTTTTTATACAAGTAAATTGTAAGTAAATAACATATATATAAGCTCCAAATCATGGCAAATTATTTTAGAAGTGAATCAAAATGCTGTAATATCTTTGGATTAAAGGAGTTTGCAGGCAAACTTGACTTAAAGGAGGATAGCCATGTTCTCAAGGTTTCTTTGTCCTTTGGCAATTCTAGGTAATGTATTCTTACTTTATTTTAATTTGTTTTGATGTGTTGGTTTTGGAGATGTGTTTGCTGGATTGTGTTTTAGTTATCTATGACTGCATAGCGACTCCAAATTCTAACAATTTAACAGAATAGAAATATATCATCTCACAGAGGTTCTGAGGGTCGGGAATCACCCGTGAGTGGCTTCACTGGGCAGTTCTGGCTCAGGGTTCCTCCTGAGTTTGCCGTTTAGCTGGGTTGCAGTTATCTAGAGGCTTACCTGGGGCTGGAAGATCCACTTCCAAGGTGGCTCATGCACATGACTGTTGGCAAAAAAAGTCCTCAGTTCCTCACTGGCTGTTGTCAGAAGGTCACTGTTCCTTACCACGTGGCCCTTGTCTTAGGCTGTTTGTCCCTATGATGGCAGCTGGCTTCCCCCAGAGCAAGGAGTCCAAAAGAGAGAACAGGAAGAGGAAACCACAGTGCCTTGTAGAACCAAATCCCCAAAGCTGCACCTGTCACTCTCACTTAGGGAAGGGAGTTGGGCTCCATCTTAAAGAGGGTCAAAGAATTTATGGACATATTTTAAACCACCACAGTTTGCAATTTGAAGAAGCTGAAAAAAGAACAGAGAAGTGATTTTCTAAAGGATGCACTGAACTGTATGCCTTCCTTTCCCTCCCTCCCTTTTTGCCCCAGTCTCCATATTCTTTCGCAAGCTTATGTCCATTCCCATTGCTCTGGCTTCTCAGCAGAGATCAATTGACCTCATCATTGCCCTTTGTCTTCAAATCCCAAACTTTCACTGAAAGATATTCATCTGATTTGGATGCTAAAGGAATTCCACAGTGATTTAAAAAAGGAGATTGCGTTGAATGTGTGAAGTTCAAACCCTGGCTTCACAAACTACTAGTGGTCTTCATCTTTGTCAGTTTCCTTATCTCTAAAATAGGATATATATGAGCAACTCTGTATAAGACTATTGTGAATAGTAAATGAGAAAATAAGTGTGAAATACATAGAATAGTTCCTGGCATAGCGTAAGTGCAGATTTATTTAATATTTAATCAAAAGCTTAATGAATATTTATCCAAAGCTCACCCAAAAGATGCAACATTCAAGGAAGATTGCTTATGTGGCATTCATTGGATATACTCTTCCAAATAGTCTAGAATCAAGGATGTAGCCAGATCTACAGCAGGAAATTGGGCACCTAGACCTTACTATTTTTAGCCTTCAAATAATTTCTTTTCCTAAATACTACTTTGCCATGATGCCATTTGTTTATAGTGTGATCGTTACACAGGAAATGTGGTGCCTGTGGTTCAGGACATCCCAACAGACTTTTCCACAGTCCACCATGGTGACTATTCAAGTCTGATCTGAGTACCAAGCACACTTATGCTTATCCTGAGGAAAGTTGCCTTTAAGGATGTTAAAGCAACTGACAAGGTTTGCCTCTGAAAGTTGACTGCTAGAAAATCTAAAGCTACATCTGTGGGCTCTGGAAGCATATAGAGAGGTCATAAACAATGGATTTGGAAACTGGTTTCCTGGCTTTACTTGTTTCCTTCTTTCTCTTCCCCTTTTCCTGATGCATGTTGTTTTGCTGTGGTTTGTACATCCTTGTAAGCTGCCCATCTTTTCTGGGGTTTAAGGAGTATAATGGAAAGCCATTGTCTGGAAGAAATTGTGGTTAGATTATGTCATTTCAGAAGTAGAACATGGCCCAATACATAAAAGTTAGAAGAAGATGAATCTCCTTTTACTCTTTGCTCTAACAGTATGGACAACGAAGAACAAAATAAGCTGCCTCGGGGAGAAGTGAGTGTCTCATTCAATACATCGTTCAAGGAAAAGTCATTGGTAGCAAAGCTGTAGAAGAATTATAGAGTTCTAGATGTGCAAAAAGCCCTAGACATCATTAACTCCAGTGATTCTCGGTGTGGTTCACAGATTTATTGTAAGATGCCTGTGAATTCACCCATGCTTAATGTTTTTCCTTCAACTATCAAGATAGAAAAAGTACAACTCTTACTATGTGGGTATTCAAGAAATGTTTGCTGTTACAAAAAAAAAAAGTGTGTAAAAAGTTGAAACCCAAATTCTCTGCCATTTGTGGGATTTAAAATTTTTTGGAGCTAGACACCCATGTGTTGAGCCCTAGGCTCCAGAGGATTCTAATCTTCTAGTCATTTCACCCACCACCATGTGCCTGGGTGGTCTTCCACACAGCTGTGGTTTCTATTGTATATCCTTTCCATCTGAAGACTTCTGTGTCTTTAGTTGAGCTTCTGTAAAATAGGTGCTATCGTTAGTATTTATGAGTCTTTTGTTCACACATATGGGAATGTCCATTGGAAAATCAGATTCCAGACACTTTGCTCCACTGTGTCACAGGCTTATCTGTTCCCTCAGGAGCAATGTACCTTAACTAATAAATGAAGACAGGGATTTCCATTTAAATGATGATGTCAGTCCACCTAGGAAAGGCCTGATAAATGTGGGATGGATCCAGCGAATTTATTACCAGTATAAAGAATTATTTGAAAGTACCACCTCCCAGGATTCAAGCTGCAGTGTTACACTGGTTTCCTGTCTTTATATTCCTGTCCTAAGCCTTTTCATTCTTCTTGGTAAATCATGTATTTGGTGTTTAACATTCATCGAATGTATGTATGAATGAATGAATAGAATAAATGGTTGCATGAATCTTAATAATCTAGGAGTAATATCAATAAACTATTACTTTTGTTTTCCAGTATTAATCATCATTTATCCCAGTATTAAAATTGCTTACCTTGCCCCAACAAAGACCTCTTTGAAAAATATTTAAGCACCTTTATATACTTATACAATATACAGTGTTTTGATAGCACACATAGTATATAATTCAGAAAACCAAAATAACACTATGTTCAGGGATCCACAAAAAGTCCATTAGAAACCTGAAAGTACTGCAGAATTTACAGAATTTATGTGCTCTATCAAAGGCTACATACAAGGCCAAGTAAAGAGTACATTCTGATATGTAAAATGTGTTACTCTTGGGAGCACTGAGATTTCGGTTTTGACTCAGCACAGAATATTTGTACATAGATAGAACGCAACAGAGATTGTATTTTGGTATCAAATACTACTCTAGCCTCACTCTATTAACCCTAGATCCTACTTTTACTACGCTCATAAAAAAAAAATTAATTGATTTCCTGACGAATTCACGTTATGCATTATTCTTTTTTTCTGGCCTTATTGCTAGTCATCAGAACTCTCTCACAAACTTTTATGACTCTGATGCAAAATGTTGACGTGTTTAGTACTGGAAAACAGCATCAAAATATGGAATACATTATGCTCACTGACCTGGGAATGCAGAAAGCTATGGCAATCAGACCTTCCGAGTTATCTATAAATAAACCATCTTTATCTTATTTGGTGTTGTCTCAGAGTATTATTTGTCTGGGAGATAATTTATTAAAATAATGCTTGAAGTTGGATGAGGAGTTTTCTGTTTTTAATTAGAAATCCAGAAACAAAGTTTAGCAACTGCAGAAAAATACACATTTAAATGAAAATAGAATTTCAAAAATCTTATTAGTGACCATAAGTTAAGGAAATGCGATGAATTTCTTAAGGCCTCTAACAGTCACTGTCTCCTTAAACAAACACCGTGCTGTGTTGTTCAGAGGCAGATTTATCAGGGAACTAACGAGGCCTTCGCCTTGGGCTCCTTGCTTGCATGGGTCCTTTCCGAATCCTCTTAACCATGTTCACTTTCTTGCATTGATTTTCTTAAAAAGAGTTTCAAAAATTATAAAAATGAAGTTGTAAAGCCTCCCGCAAATATGGTTCTAGGCCTGTGCAAGTATAGGATATGGCCTACTTCGTGCAAAGAAATGTATATATGTTTTTGGTTAAAATTGTTATTTCGAACCACTTATAACAACAGCGTTAAAATATTGTTGGAGGTTTTAGTGAAATGAGAGTCTGAACCCCATTTTCAGCCTTTACATAGGAATGGAGTCCGTGAAGATAAATTATGATGATACCTACCCTTTTACTCAAAGATTTAAGTAATTATTGAGTTTAAACTCCAAATTAACAAATAGATATCAAGCTGTCTTTTCAATAGGTGGAGCTTGGAAAGAGAAAACATGTAGATGATCAATATTTAATAATAAAAGGAAAAAAGAAAATGGTTACTTTTCTTATTCTTTAAGCCAATTTTAATTTATTTTTGTAAAAATATGTAATTTAAATTATGCTTAGGTATTTTTTAAACCAAATTGAGATTTTTTAAGACTAGTCTCCAAATGTATGTGGTTTACATCATGATGTTTTCAGGGAGACACCAGAAAGAACAGGTGTTTCTCAGGATGACTAACTGTGGGTTCATGAGCCTTCACTCCAGCTGTCCCCATGCAAGTTTGCCTCAACCGCCTGGACACTCCAGCACGTAGAGAGTGGAATAAAATCTTCTTGGTACTTTAGGTTTTGATATACAAGATGTTCTTCATCAAAGAGCATTTTTAAAAAGAAAGTTGATGTTATGAAATGTCAAAAAATATGCATTCCATGTTTATTTGACATATGTCCAAAAATCTAATTTAAACTCTAAGATCAGCTCATTTGCAGATTGGAAATAAGTCTCGCTAGACTTTCTGCCTGTGAGACAGCTTGAAGTGCAAAGATAGAAAGCTTCGAAGAGTATTTATTTTAGTTAAAGAAACTGTTCACAAATGTACAAACAAGTTCTGCATACCATTCCTCTGGAAAGCATCTATCAGTTGGCAGACATTCCTAGAAAGTGTTCTGTGATTTTGAGGTACAGTTGATCTTTGATGAGCAACTGGAAGTTGAGGGGTGCCAACCCCTCCTGCAACCAAAAGTCAGCAGATAGCTTAAACTCAACTACAACTGGCCATTGTTGACGGGAAGCCTTATCAATAATATAAATGGCTAATAAGCAGGACTTTGTATGTCACATGTATTATAACTATATTCTTATGATAAAGTAAGCTAGAGAAAAGAAAACGTTATTAAGACAATCATAAGGAAGAGAAAATGTATTTTCTATTTATTAAATGGAAGTAGATCATCATAAAGGTCTTCGCCCTCATCGTCTTCATGTTGAGTAGGCTGAGGAGGAAGAGGAGGGGTTGGTCTTGCTATTACAGAGGTGACCGAGGCAGAAGAAAATCAACATATAAGTGGACTTACATTCTAACGCATGTTGTTCAAGGCTCAGCTGCATATAGAAAAGTGTATTTTTTTTTAACCCAACACAGACCACTAGCCATTCTCATTGTCTTTAACCAGTTTTTGTTGAAATAAAAGTAAATATGAAATAATTATACTCTTTTTTTTTTTTTCTTTTTGAGACGGAGTCTCGCTCTGTCACCCAGGCTGAAGTACAATAGCACAATCTCGGCTCACTACCACTTCCGCCTCCCAGGTTCAAGCAATTCTGCTGCCTCAGCCTCCCGAGTAGCTGGGATTACAGGCACCTGCCACTACGCCCGGCTAATTTTTGTATTTTTAGTAAAGATGAGGTTTCACCATGTTAGTCAGGCTGGTCTTGAACTCCTGAACTCAGGCAATCTACTCACCTCAGCCTCCCAAAGTGCTGGGATTACAGGCGTGAGCCACCGCACCTGGCCAATAATTATACTCTTTCAAAATCATAAGATCCATCTTTTTGAATAATGTGTTAGAAAATCAGTTTTATGGCAAATCGATTGGAGAACAATTCTTTAGCTTTAGAAGCAGCAGAGAGCTCAGAACAGTCCTGAAAACAGGCTTCTTGTGAAGATTGCATTGTTTCTGTGCATTTATTTTGGTCATGCTCTGACCTCTGTATAGGGCTGTGTGTCTAACATGGCAGCCTTTAGCCACACATGGCTGTTTAAAAGTAAGCATAATTAAAAAGTCAGTTCCTCGGTGACAGTAACCACATTCCAAGCGCTCAGTGGCCATACATGGCAGGTGGCTACTGTATTGAATAGTGCAGATATAGCCCATTTTCATCCCTGCAGAAAGTTCTATTGGACAATTCCGGTCTGGGAAAAGACCGGGACGTCTGTCCAAGGAGTACCATTTGCAAACTCAAGGTTTCCTGTGTTTTCAACACAAGCACTTTGAGCTATTCAGCTATAGTTGAGGGAGGGAAAAAAAAAAACTTTACCAAAATACAGCAATTTCTTGACTATAAAAATATGAAGCAGCATTTTCCAGAGTAGGGGTCATGCAATCCAGGTTCCAACAGATGTTGCCAGGACCATGGCAGGAGTTGGGGTACAGAGAGATGGAGCAGAGATCTGCAATCCAATAGTTGGAGGCACCGGGTAAGCCAGATTAAACCAATTTCTTTCCTATAGGACTTAAAGCTTTCAATATGCAAACACGTATTGCTTGAGCAAGCAGAACAGCGCACTCAGCATTTCCTCAGCTCTATAGAGCAAGAACTACCTTTTGTGTGGTACATTTTGTAAGACAGGTGTTTTATGAAGCTACTTGGGATTCAGATGGCTTGCTTTATTTTTCTAATGCATAGTGCTGAGTTGCGTACTGCTAGTCACAATGAACAGGTGATACCCAAAAATCAGAGCCATTAGGCCCACAATAGTTCTTTTTTGTAGAGAATTAATGAAAGCATGGCTTTTCAAATTATATAGTATAATTGCCTCAAATGTGTTTTTGAGACTACAGTATATTTTTACAGTAAAATCTTTTTCTTTCTAACACTGCCATTGATATATATATTTACGGGTTTAAGATCAATTAGAGAAGATGGGATGAAATTTTGTGATCATGTGTGCTTAGTAACTCTCCTTCCAAGGATCCCTATTAAATGAACATGAGAATAACTTATATAACAATGAATGATAAATAAAATATTTTCATAGGGCAAGTGTCACCATGTGTCAATCTCATAGAATGTTAACTGCATGGGGCATTATGATAATAACCAAAAAAATGACATGTAGATTGTGTTTTTGTTTTCCATGTGTGAAGAAGTGCTTCTGCAAACAGTGAGAACAATCCTAAGGAGGTAGTGCTTGGGTCCAGCTCAGCTGGGGCAGACCTGGGGACAGCTTGCATCTCCC